TCAAGTGACAGGTATCCAATAAACGCCAGCACGTCCCCTTCCTCCGCCGGAAGCGGGTCCCGTCCCTCCTCATCGCAGAAAGATAGCCACTTGCGGATCTGGCTTGACCGGTTGCCCCACGTCCGCTCCCTCCAACCGAACTCGGCGAGCAACGACGCTGCCACCTCTGCCCCTCCTGTAGCGGTGTCAGTCCCGGCACGCGACAGCACCGAAGCCACGATCCCGGCCTTCCAGTCCCTCTCTACGCGATCTCCGCGACGACCACTGACCATCCCTCGTTCTTGCCTTCTCCTTCCAGCAGCGGTCCGTCGTCCCCGAGATGTAGCTCCACCATGCGCGAGCTCAAGCTTTGCAAGCGCGCGTACCAAGCTTGTGCTGGCCACCTCGGCGCAACCAACACCGCCTTCCCATCCTCTGCCGCGATCTTCCGAACAACAACCGGAAGAAGATCGAATGGGGGGTTCCAAGTCGGCTTTTCCCGTCCCCCCAGTCTTCGTCCATCTGCGTCAGCAAGTACTTTTTTCTCGCTATCAGCGTGTCCCCCAGCGGCCGTTCTCGAAATACCACGTGGCTCAAGCGATATTCTTTCGGTATTGACTGTAGCAATGAATCCGTAGCCCTTGCATCCCTCGGATCCCAGTTTTGCGACAGTGTGTCCGCGAACCTGTTCACCGCTGATGGTATCCATCTTGCTTCCAACCGTACACCGAGGACTCTCAGCAGTACTTCCAGCTTTCTCAACTCGATCATCATCTCCTTCGAGGCCGACACCATCGCATTCAGCACGTAGACGACGGCTTGATTGTCCTCGTGTAACAGCAGGCGACGAACACGCGGGTCTGATACGTAGTCGGCAAAGTGCCGGTGGAGGAGTAGCCGGACGGCTCTCAACTCGCGCAAAGTAATCTAGGGCGCCCTGTCGTCCGCGCTCCAAAAACCGCGACCCTCCCACAAACCCGGCAGTCCTTGAACGGTCTCGAGTCCCAGCGTGCCGCTATAACCCACATCGGCGGCATCGCTGTGCATTGTCATATGCGTTTCCAGCCTGACGAGATCCCTTCCTTCTCCCCTCGAATGCGAACGCCAGTGTCGAATGTCGCCGAGCGACTGCCGGCACAGCCTGACCTTGATCTTCTGCGTGCTCCGAGTGTGCTCGGCGGACCCACTCGCGAGCCGCTGCTTGGGGATTCGGCCCCAAACCCCCGGTCTCCGCACTGTAGGCCTCGCATGCGCGGCCCCTGGCGCAGCCGTCCGACATGACCCTCGCTCCTTGCGCTCCGCCAAGGACATGTCGAAGTAGACCGAACGCGTGTAGAAACGAGCAAGGGGAACCGCGAGCGACAGAGACACACATACGCCGCAGAAGTGTCGTAGCAGCTCCAAGGGTACCAAGCGTCGATTCCGTTGCGCCATGAGGAGAATCTTTTGCGCCAGTCCTCGCACTTTCTTCACCTTCGCATCGGAGACGTACACCTTCATATCTTCCGTGTCTATGAGCATTCCGAGGTGCTCCACACGTCGCCCTTCCTCCCAGCATCCTTTCTTCTCGTGCCGCACGATGCTGAGCCGTCCAAAGAGCGCTGACAGCTGCTTTCGCGCTCTTCGACAGTCCGCTTGAGTCGACGGCCGCCCGTAGCGGCACGGGGCGGCCAGGAAGTCGTCGATGTACGGAAGCATACGATACCCAAGGGTATCGCGCATGTACTGTACGAGCGGCCTTAGTAGCTTTGTGAACCACCAGACAGAGCGCCCCCACCCACGCGGGAGGGCGATGAAATGGTAGAAATGTCCGGCGTAGCGGAAAACAAAGTAGTCTCGAACGTCGGGGTGCAGATAAAAGTGACGGTAGCCGCTTTTGATATCCCAAGACATTAAAGTATCCCCGCGCTGTATGTCTATGGCGAACGAAGGTATCGTCTCCATCGTCACGCTCCCTTTTTTCCAATGCTTGCTCTGTCGGTGGAAGTTGACGACGAACCTCCCCTTTTTCTCCCTTTCGTCCCCTTGCCACACCACGAACGCTGACGAAACCATCTTCCCTGACTGTACGATTCCCTCGACCTCCTTCGACGACACGCGTTCGTATATGCCTTTCTGACACCAATCTAGCAAGTCCTTCCGGGCAAAACACCTGTCCTCCTCTGATTGGGGGATTTCTCCCAATACCAAGCCATCCGTGAAGGGCACCGCTGGCATATCTCGAATGCCATACCGGATCGCACGGACGAGGTATTCTGAAGCACCAAGCTCCGACTGCCACTTGTCGGCTCTTAGTGATGTACCTCTCCACAACGGCGGTCCCCCGGTCACCCCAGTGCCTCTCATGCCCCGTAGGGCGCCCGTCACTCTTGGGAGGCGGAACCGGGGGACCCTTTGTCCGCACTCGCTCCGCCCGTCTGGCTGCGTCCTCTCGCTCTCTCGAGACGAGCTTTGGCCAGCTGATTTGCTGCCTCGATCTCCAGTTTAGAGGTAAGTGCCTCTCGAGCTGCGCGGTAAGACTCCGAAAATACAGCATCATGTCCCTGCTCGACGAGAAAGGACATCTGTCTGGCTGTCTCAACGCCTTGCTCCGTGAGATCACAAAAGTATTGAGCCCTCATAGAAAGGACCTCAAGGGCTGCCTTGAACGACAATTGAGCCAATGCCAGCCGCCGCGCTAGGTCTGCCACGTCACCATCTTGCCCCTTCGCGACCTCGAGTGCAGCCAGACCTAGCTCAGTCCATACTCCAGCAGCATTAATGTACTCCCACTCCTTCGCGGATCACCGATCCGTAGACCTTAGATCAGAAAGGAAAGCATCAGCCGGAGGCTTAAAGTACCCCATGTGAGTGACCGGAACATGGGGGCCTCTATCGAAGACACTTCCCTCTCCCACCAACTTTAGAGAGTTCAGCTCAGTTACAACAGTGCCATAGTCGCGGCGCTCGGGTTTCGCGGTTGCCTAGGCTGCCCTGAGCGCCACCCCGGCGGAAGGCGGGGGACTGCTGTTTGCGTCTGTCATCGCTCTCAATAGCACGCTGTGTGTGCTACGTAGAATGTATCGCCGCCCGGAATAGTGGTCAGGGAGAATTTCTCAAAGAGAAATAGACATGCCGGATCGAGGGAGGTCGTCCGGGAAGAGCTGGTGGTGGTGTTCTAATAAAGACAGCGACGCTCGGCATGCTGACAGATATTGTCAGCCGCTTGCTATTTCCTGGGGGTTCTTCACCCGCATACACAAAACGTGTACACGGACGCAAAATGAAGCTCTCATAGACATTAGCTAGCAGGAGTTTGCAGCAGCCCACTGGACAAAATTGTACAACTTTGGCGTTGAGGCTCGCTCGGTAATGTGTGATACCAATACAGGACAAAATTACTCTTACATTGTTTTCCAGCAAGAAATTATCGGGGTTCGACTATATTATTTCTCCGATGTGGGAGAAAAGCAAGTGTTCGTACTATTTTAGCCATTCTCACGGAACATGCAGTTATTACACAGATGAGAAGTATTGGAATGAACATCATTGTCCCAGCATTGGCGCATGGTTGAGACGTACGTTTCTTGTAGATAAGATGCACAAGCTGGAGGAAAAAAGCCTACAGGACATAAAGATCAAAACCTTCTGCGATTTTCTGAATATCTGAATCTGCCCTCGGTCATATTGTGTTTTCGGTAGATTTGGGGAAGGAGCGGTGCGTGTGTGTTCTCTCACCGTCGATGGGTAAAATACAACGAACTGGGTGCACACAGGCATGAAAAAGAAAGATCATGAGGTGAAAAGATCAAGCTTGTGTTTTTAGGATTGTCCCACTTTGTTACATTGAATACCTGTATGTATACACTTCTGATTAAACTTTCTCGTTCAAGAAAATAACGTTATGCCCATGAAGTCGCTACAAATTCTACACGACTTAGCTCACCGCACCATTCCGCATGTGCAAAAGCGACATTAGTTGTGCATTAAACCGCCTGTAGTGTATGGTTGAAGAAGTCAGAAAAATCTTTGATTTGATAGTGGTGTGACTGCCAGATTAATGATATTTCTTATATCATTTAGGGACTTTCTTAGTCTCACCCTTCTAGCCAAGGAATGTGCGAAGCCTATGAACAGGAGATATTTTGAGAGTCAATATTTCTGCTCTTTTGAGAGTCCCGTATCTCTGCAGATCCTTTGAAAAGGAATGAAACTGATTTAGGAACCGTAAAGGGAGTTTGAATTGTCCCTGATGACCAAGCATTCATGGTGGAGGCAACCAAAGTTTGGCTCTTCCCGACCTTAGACAGGTGGGTTTCTCGAGGCAATGGTGAGATTGTTTACAGAATGTGTGCTTGGGGGGCCATGCCGTTTTTTTCTTGAACTGCAGTATCTGTAGGGGGGTTAACATTGAGGGAGAATTCATTGCTCGCCAATATAGATGCAATTTCGTCACTGTCCCTTCGGTATGTTATTAGACTACGACGAGCACTGCTGCATAGCGTGATGGGAAGGCGCAGCCCGAACTGTCTCTTGAGGCGCTACTTTCCAGCACACCCTTCATTCGAATGCCCCGCTTTCTGCTGATGCTTTATCGGCTAACATTGGACAGCCGTCTAAAATTACCATTTTCGGCGGTGGTAGATGTGCTCGTCGATATCCACTGTAGGCTAAGTTCCTTTTTTGCACACCATATCAAATTGTTTTGAACTGCGCATTGTCTACGTCGGCGCCGCCCTTTAAATGCAGACTCAAAGAGAGTCACTGATCTTCTTCAAACTGCTGACTTCTGTTAAATAGTACGAACTCAGTCTCAATACATCAGAGAAGCGGGTTTCAATCGGCAGATTAATGAAGTTGAATGGATTTAGAAAGGGGAATGTGATGCGCATTCGAATATCTACACGTTCTGGTCTACAAAGCTGTGAAGTTCTTAAAGTTTAGTACTGGTTGTCCTGGTAAGAGTAGAGGGCGAGCATCAAATATGAATTCTGTCGTAGTTTCAAAGTCTTGCAAATGGCCTCATATGAGGCCCATGTCGTCTAGACACCACGGGGAATGATTGTACGGTCCCGAAATGACTCGAGCATGATAAAAGGAACTACCTTAAGAATCAAGGAAACAACATCCCCAATGTTGTCGGCGGGCAAGAAACGTGCATGTACGTGTGTACAGGATGCTGGACAGAGGCTTTTTGTCCGACAGAGAGCCAACCTGACAGAGAGGAGCGAGTTGTTTTTGAAGACGGGATCATTTCTACGAGTTGGCATCTGCAAAATCTTTCGCTCTGAAGCATTTCGCGAAAACGATTTAGAGATTTGAGACACTGCGGAGCAGATTTAGACGGGGTTCCGTTTCAAAGCAAATACACTACATGCGTGTACGACAAAGGCTACATCTGTGCCAATAGCGTTTCTGGCTTAGAGGGTCCCTCAAATGAGGTGCCGTCCTCCAAATTAACCTGAGTAAACACACCATCCTCGACCAAATAGCCTCCCCGGTACGAGCGAACACCCCCAAAGCCATCGGTATCAACCTCAATGCCGATTGCCTTGGTAAGCTTTGCGCCTCCATCGGCCAAAAACGTAACCTTGCCTTCATTGCCAATGACGTTTGCAAAGGCGTCCATGACAAACGGATCATTGACAGCGAGGGCGACTACGTCATCGCACCCCTTTGCCTTGAAGTCGTCGACGGCCTTGATCCAGAGCGGGACGTGGCCGTTTTGGCAGGTGCTGGTGAAGGCGCCGGGAAAGGTGACGACGGCGACTTTCTTGGACTGGAAGATGGAGGCGGTGGAGACGGTGGTGGGGGCGCCGTCTTTGAGGACCATGAGATCGACGTCCATGGGCATCTTGTCGCCCTTGGAGAGAAGCATGGTGGGGCTCGTGGCGTGGATGAAGCGCGATGTGCGCGGGACGGTGCTGCGGGTCAGACCAGGGAGGGCGTGGGTAATAAAGGCCATTGCGGGGGAAAGGGTGGTGAGTAGCTGGAGGGGGATCCGGAGATGGGAAAGGATGGAATTTATCGGGTGCTGGAAGCGAAACGAGTAGGGGGAGTGATCGAGCTATAAGAGGCTATACCGTAGATGCCGTACGTGGATAGGGAGCGGGGAATGGGGAGATCTGGGAAGGCAAAGGATGCGGTCAGGGATACATCTGGACCCGTTGGTTGCCCAGATCGCCCCCCTATCTGAACTGCTACTCTCCATCTTGTGATTGGTTGAGCTCTCAGGAGCTCCGACACTGGCGGCTCATCATTGGTTGAATTAAAGCAAGTTATGACTCTTATTACTCTGAATGACAATCATTACAGTTATCAAGGGACTGTAAACAAGTTAGCGCAGTTCGGTACACGTACAGTATGTATTTGGATACAGTATTCCCAATGAATGTATCAACCAATCGCCCTGCTCAACTCCTCGCTCCTTTGTGCTCATGATCCGCTATCTTGAGCCGCCTGGCTACCACCATGCATGCGTCATTACCATCACCGTCGGCATGATCGTGGGCTGCCTTTTTACCCCCGACTGACAAACCCTCCTACCTATCCGTGCTGACAATCGCGTTCCACAATGCCTCCCTCCGCACCCGCCTCCTGTTCCCGGCCCGCCTCCTCCATCGCAACATGGAGGAGAAATGGTACATCCTCGCCGGCACCCTAATCTGGACCGTCGTCTTCCTTCTCATCGTCCTGATCCTAATCCGTCTCCTCAAGCAGTACCGCTTGGAGCGCCGCATCCACGCTCTGAATGAAGCCGACGCGCGTCGCGTCGCCCTGCGCTTTGCCTCCATATCCACCTCTTCCTCGGCCACGCTCGACATCGAGCCCGCCCACCACCCGCACCCGCGCACGCGCTGGTTCCACATCCCGCGCAGGTCCAGGCCCGCCTTGGACGTATTCACCGAGCCGCCCAGGCCGTACCTGCCCGTCCAGCCCCACACCGCCCATGGCCTGACGCCAGAGGAATTGCAACTCCACTGCCCCGTCCAAGTCCATGCAGAGGAGACACGCGATTTGAAGGAGGCAGGCGCTGAGTGCCACTCTAGCGGCGATGGCATCCTGCTTTGCGCCATTTGCTTGGACGATATTACGTACGGCCTGCGTAAGAGAGTCCTCCCTTGCTTTCACGCCTTCCATGCCAGGTACGTCACACGCCGTCCGCGACACGTTTGTCCCTAGCAACTGTGCTCTTCCTCACTCTAACTCGTGTTCAATTACACACCTTCGCAGATGCGTTCAGATCTGGCTACAGCGCTCTAACAAGTGTCCATGCTGCATGAAGACTGTCGTGTTGCGTGATCCGACGCCCATGCAGGACCTCAACGACGGGCGATTGCTCGGCATGCCTATGCCGGACGAGGGCGGCCGCCGGCTCGGCAGAGGGCACCGCGGGCCTAGGTCGCGCTTTTTGGGGCTATGGACCTTTGGCAACAGACAGTTTGACCCGGAGTTTGTCGCTCGCATCACCCAGACTCCAGGAAGGGATGACCGCATGGTTGACTTGCAGACGACCGTTCGTGCTGCGGAGAGGAGGAATTTGCGACGTGCTATAGGCATGAGGGGACATTCGGTCAGGTTTGTGGATATCAGCGAGAATCGAATCGTACCGAATGCACCGATCGAGGGTGAACGTGCTGCCATCATAGATGGCGCAGAGCATCCTCAGGTACAGCAGTATAGCGAGCAGCTTCGGAGGTCTCGCGAGATTGACAATATGGTTGAGGCAACAGCTTAGATTTAATGGAAGTCCATCTTGCCTGCATCACAACTTCCGTTCGAATACGATAGGAACCGAGAGAAGAACGCGGGGAGGCCTCCTTCAATTCTATATTCAGCCAACTGCTGTTTAATAACATATCTCTTCCGTCTTGCCTGATCCCTAGCAAACTTATACAGGCGTCTCTCATGTGGCGCGTCCCACTTTGGCCAGCCTCGTACGCAGACATTGTTATGTCCCCAGGGCATCCCGTTGCCCTACCTAGTTCAATATGGTTAAAAGCCCAGTTAGACATACAAACCTCGTACCCATGCAGCTGTGCCATCAGAGTCGGACACCAATTTGACTTCCGCTTTGCATGCGTCTTCCAAGTCTTCAATAGTCAGTTTTTCCTTCAGTTCCTGATCGTCTTCACTGACAAGCGCTGCCCTATTCCGACGCATTGCTGCAGCAGCTGCTCCGCGACGAATACACGAAGCAATCCGCGCCCCAGTGAACTCGTATTTGGTCGCGATTGTATTGAGGTGCTCCTTGACACTTTCGTGTACTGGGGTGTCTTCGGGAATCAGCTGCTTCCATAAGCGCAGTCTCGCTTCTCTGTTGGGCATTGTCAATACGACAAGATAGCTCAATAATGAGCTTACTCGGTTTGGAACGGGCACGTGCTTCGGCCACCCAGCTTCAGTCGACGTCGAAGCGACTGTGCAGCACAAAACCACAAGCCCATCGAAAGATTGCATATGGAACATGAGTTCTAGTCCAGGCGAAGCTGTCGTTTCCGGTGACGCTGCTTCAAACAGGAGCTGCTCAGCATGCTCCACCACGACAACTGCGCCGGCCACGGCAGCCTGGCCAAAAACAGCTCCAATCTCAGATGCCCCTTCGCGAGAACCATGAAGCTCAGACGCTGCCAATCGCTGCAGCGGTCGGCCCGTTTCAAAACCGAGGCAACCAGCTGCAAAGGTCTTTCCACACCCACTTGGACCGAAAATTAGGACGCAGTTTGAACGGACTTGTCTGTCCTTGAAGCCCCAGCGAGTTGTCATCAACCCGCGAACCTTTTCAACCATGACAATATCTTTCAATGTCTTCATAGCTTCTTCTGTAGTGACCAATTTGTCCAGACCAGACAGTGGTAAAACACGTCGCTCGAGCTTTGCTCTCTTCAGATCCCCTCGAGCTTGAAGGCGGCAAGCCTGGCGCAGTTCCTCCATTGAAATGACGACGTCACCGGCTTCCAACGCAGTTGGAGGCCCAGCACTTTCGGACTCTGCATTCTTCCGCCGATATTCTTGCACCCTGCTCACTGCTTGAGCCAAAGCTTGGAATACTGCGTTCTTGATATATCCACCGGTAAGCTCAAACTCGATGGCTAACGCCCTCAAGTCTACGTCTTCTGCAAGTCGTAGGTTCTTGGGAATGTGCTTCTTCCATATGTCGAGTCGAAGGTTCGCGTCAGGAGCCTCAAATTCGAGAGAAAGCGCGATTCTGCGATGCATAGCCTCGTCAAGCATTTGGGGCCTGTTAGTCGCAAGAATCATGATTCCATCAAAAGTCTCCATTTCTCTCAAGGCTAATGTCACCGCTCCTTTTCCTCCTCGCTCCCTGCTTTCAAAAAGTTCATCGCACTCGTCCATAAAGACAATGGCTCCATGCACTTTGGCTTCTCGAAATACGATTCGATAAGCTTCGGCGTTCGAATGTTTTGAGCTGTTCAGGGACGCAAAATCGACTACCAACAGCTTTTTCTTCAGGTGCGAAGCCAGAGCGTTTGCAAAGAGAGTCTTTCCAGTCCCTGATTTCCCATGAAAGAAGAGGGTCAATCCTTTTCCGTATCGGACAATGTCATCGAATCCAACCTGATGATAAAGAAGCGCACCAATGAGGAAAGATGTTCATAAGTCAGACCTCGCCTTGTGAGCCTGAACAGCAACTCAAGCTGGATGGGGCGGCGAAAAGTTAATAAAAATAGCCCAAAAACTTACCTCCTTCCTTAGTCTTCTGAAAATATCAAAGTGCTCTGTTCTTTGCAGAACGAGAGATTTCATTTTTTCTGGAAGTACGACGGATTCCATATCTACCTTCGGCGAGTAACATCTGGCACTGTCCATGATTTCGTCAAGCTCTGTCTGCAATCCAGCCACGTAGTCTAAGACCATGTGATCCAACTCGCAGCAGAAATCGCCGAGGTCAGAAAACGGCATGTTGTATGGCACATCTATTGTTACAATGCCTGAGCGAATTAGAGTGGCGTTGCGATAGAAGAAAGACCGCATCTTGATTTCTTCGCGTAGATCGCCTCGACAGTGCACTCTCAACAGCTTGGCCACGGTTATCCCTGTTTCATATGCTGCCGACGGGTCGGAGCGCAATGTTTTGCGAATCGATTGGCTCAAGACGGACCCGACTGTAGTTGGCGGCGATGCAGAGAGGATATAAATAATTTGTGAAAGTGATATTGGTCAGAAGTCTGAAGCGGCTCCGGGACGAATTGGATGGAAGCGGAAGTGCGGCGAAGTGTCGCCATGCAACGATGGTGAGAGTCTCGTATCGTACCTAGAGTGAGGATAACCATGCGTTCGAAGTGCACCAGTTTGAGTTTGCTCACAAGCAGCTCCAACCTGGGCATGAATTCGTTAACCTGTACTGTCTTGCTGAGGCGGACGCGAAAGTGCCCAGTAGCCTTGCGCAGTTTGGCATCAGCCTCACGCTGCAATGCTTCCACGGGACGTTTTGTGTTCATGTATCTATCTTCTTCGCTGCTCTTTTCCCTGAAGTTGTAGACTTTGCAAGCCTCTCGTACGACTTCAAACCCATCCTTGAGATACTCCATATCATCTTGGTAAGGCTGGACGTCCGCATCTGATGTTTGTTCATCTTCTGTCGAGTCGCCAAGGTCGTCGGTTTCGTGATAGTCACTTTCGTCATCCTCTTCGAGCCTACCATTGCTGTCTTGCGCAAGAGGCAAATCGCCTCGGCTGTTGGGCTTGGACGTCCCTTGCGATGCTTTTTTTGCTTCGGCTTTTTTCGCTTCGGCTTTTTTCGCTTCGGGGGTCTGCCGGGGCGCCTCTCTACGCAGTTCAGACAGGAGCTCGTGCATGGCAGAACCATCGGTAGTAAGATCACGATTGCTCGGGGTGGTCTCAAACAATTCATCCATAGCCACCTTCTCCATACCCTGAACGACGTCCGTCTTCGAAGAAGAACGGGCGGGAACCTCGCCATTCAAAACGCTGCCACTCTCCTCTGCCAAGACCGTGGACAACGAAGACTCTCCCAAGGTCATGGCTTCATCCAGGGTCAGCGTGCCGCCATAAATGGCCTTCAAAACCTCTCTCGGGGCGCGAAACTTGGACTCGGGATAGCTCGCTGCAAATTCATCATCGACCTCGAGCAAGCCCTGGCTGAAATGTTTTCTACTCGGGCTGAGAAAGTCGAGGAGCTCATGGCTCTCCAGGCCTGAAAAGCGACGGCAATTGTACAGTTCAGCCTTGCTACGCATGCCGTTTCTGCGATCTTCGGCGCCGGGTACCTCGACGCCCGCGCACGACAGGACAATAAAGGTGAAGGCGCGAATCTCGGCGGGTGTCAAATTAAGATGGTCCGCCAGGCGGTACAACCTGGGCTTGAAGGGCATGGCATGAATGCGAGCCTGGACGATGTTCTGCAACTGCTCCTGGGTGGTGCGGAGCGACTGGACCAAGGCTGCACGGTCGGCAAGCAAGGAGGCACGGTCGGCGGCGAGCTGCGGATGCGGATTAGCGAGGGCTGGGCCAAAGTAGACGGGGCCGAGGCCGAGGGACTGCTGAGCAAGGGCTTCGGAAAGGGAGGAGATGTGGGCGAAGAGGGCGTAGTCAACCTCCCAGGCGTGCATGACGGAAACATCGGTAAGGGGGGCGTCGGATGGGGCTTTTAGATCGGTTAGGGTTTGGAGGATGTGAGGGAGACCTTGTTCGAGGTTAGAATGGAGATGGGGAAGAGGCAGTTTGGAAGGCGTGGGGGGATGGGTAGAGGAGTGGCTCGAGAGGTTCGAGGGCTCGGTGGTGCTCATTGTTGGGTGTGTTCGAGGGGGAACGCGGTCGTTTGCAATGGTCATTGTCTTGGAGGTAGGTAGGGAATGGTGGGAGGGAAGGGGAAGGGGAGGGGGTGTGGGAGGAAGGGAGTGTCGGAATTACGGGGAGGATCGGGTGAAGGTGTAGAAGTGGAAGGTAGGTACAGGGAGGGCGGAGCGAAAAGCGACTGAAGGGGGAAGGGAGTGGGTGAGGAGAGGGCAGTCTGTGGGAGCGCACGTGCGGTTGGAGAGTGATGGCGACGAGCCGAGGATCGTTTAATGTTGCATTCGTCGACCGCGTCATCTCATCGCATCACACCTCACTCGAAACGCACAACACGTGTTCTCGCTGGCGCTGCTCAACTGCCTGCTACGCGTCCGCACCGTGCACGCGTCACTCGTGTTCCGACATTCCGACTCCACCCCGTACTTTTGTGATCCCGTTATGTCCACACTCCGGCTCACATATCCAATCCTACCACTAACAAACCATGCTCCCGCCAAAATTCCCCGCCAATTCCTTCTTCACCTACTCCCGGTTCTCATCCTTTCACTTCATCTCAACGCTGCCCCACTTTGCCCTCCACCTCCCCCTCTCCCGTCACACTACCAGCCCCGCCCCTCTACAATGCCCCCTGCAACCTTCGCCTTTGGCGGTCTCACTCTCACCGCCGAGCCCGCGAATCTCGCCCGCGCCATCTGCGAAGAGGCCAACCTGACTGCCACCCAACTCTACTGCAAATGGGAGGCCTGGGCTCTCAATCACGACAAGCCCTCCGACACCCCCTCCGCAGAAGACCTCAACCAGCTCGCCGCCCAATTCCGCTCCCAGGCCGTCAAAGCCGCAAAAGCCCCCAAAACTCCGCGCACCCGCACCCGCACCCCCGTGTACACCCCCGTCCCTACCCCCACACGCGTCAACGTCGACGACTTCTTCTCCTACTTTGACGACCCCGGCCTCGCCAAGCCGCCTACCGCCGACCCGAAGCCCGACCCCTCCGCCGAACCCGTCCCCATCCACACCGACCGCCCACCGACCCCGCCACCCGACGCCCCACCCGCTGCCGACGACGACGGCCTCGTGCTCGCGGGCGCCTCCATCGGCCGCCCGCGCGATGTCGTCCTCGCAGGCGACGACCAGCCCGATTCTGTATATGCAAACCGCGACCAATCCGGCCGCGTCGAGGCCGTCTTCAATGCCGCCGCCGACTTGGATTCGCTTCCCCGCAGCCGCCAGCCCGTCCGACTCCGCCCTCTGGCAGCGGAAGAGCAGCGCCCGAGGTACATGAATGATGCCGTGCCAGCGAAGATCGACGCCGTGCGCGCGAGGGTCAGGCACCTGGGCGACCGCATTCTTGCGAGAGTCAGGCATCTTAGGAATGAGGATGAGCTGCCCAAGATCTCCCCGGAGAGCTTTTTCGTCCGCAGCCCGGATGTGGTCTTGGCGGTGGGGCGAATTAGAGTCGAGCTGGAGGAGACAGACGGCGTTGGGATTGGGAGGATTAATGCCAATTCGGTTGTGTTAGAGAGTGAAGAGGGAAACATGGTTAAGCTTAACCTTAGCAGGGTCCATGAGAAAAAGCAACCCATGTTTCTCAACTCTGGTATGGTTGTCGTCGTCGAAGGTGTCAACACCAATGGTCGATGCATTCAAGTGCATGCCGTATATGACAATGCGATGTCGCTGCCGCCAGACGCCCGCCAGAAGAAGGATCACCGCGTAGATGACGACGGCGACTCTCTCCTACCAGACGCCGCGCAGGAGCAGGAGCAACCGTTTGCTAATATCATCTTCGCAGCTGGGCCGTTTACAACGAGCACGAATCTCAACTACGAGCCGCTGGAAGACCTGCTTAGTGTTGTGGAGCGGGCGCGTCCGGATGCCGTATTCTTGACTGGGCCGTTTGTCGACGCATCGCATGCGGACGTCTCGTCTGCCACGCCCGTACAGTTTGAACACATCTTTGAGACTCGCGTGTTGAACCGCTTGCGGAAAGCCGTGGCGGCGATGACGGATGAGGGTCCGCGCACCGAGTTTGTACTCGTCCCGTCGCTCATGGATGTCCATCACGACTTTGTTTGTCCGCAGCCGGCTTTCCGCCTGCAGGCGGGGCAGCCGAGTGACGCCCGCATTAGGCTGGTCGCCAACCCCAGTGTAGTCGAGCTTGCGTCGAGAGACGGCGCTGCTGTTGCAACGGTTGGAGTTGCTAACCTCCCTTCTTTGCAAGACATCTCTGCGGACTGCATCTGCTGGAACAAGCCTGACCGTTTTGCAGCAATTGCTTCGCACATGGTCCGCCAATGTAGTTTTTACCCCACTTTTCCACCGTCTGCAAGCGTACCTCTTGATTGCTCGTTGTGGGACGGCATGGCGATACCGGACACGGAAAGATGGCCGACCGTCGATGTCCTGGTTACGCCGTCAAGGCTAAAGGCTTTTGCAAAGAGCGTGGACGGCGGAGCCGTTGCTGTCAACCCGGGGCTGCTCTGCAGAGGCTCGTCTGGGGGATCGTATGCTGAGATGCGCATTCCTCTGCACGAAGCTACATCAAGTCGCGGGCTAAACGCCAATGAGGACAAGTTGAAGGCTAGTATCATTCGGCTTTAGGTCGAGATTATATCCAACTTCTATCTATAAATTTGAAAATGTCAGAGTTGATGCCCAGCAATTCGCCCGAAGCTCTGATGTCGACGCGGCGAAAAATGGCGAGCCAAGAAAGGCACGGGGGAAGAAGCCGAGTTCTATTGTACTTGTTTGAGCTACTTAACTTCCCTCAAGCGCACGTCGGCATTGGGATGGCCGAGGCAGAAAGGTTGCTCTGTCGAAAGCTGCTGGCGCAGCTGCTGCTCAGCCCGCTTTGCAGCTCGGAATCAGTACACTCGAGTGGAGGGGGCATATTCTGGATGGCGAGTTCTGCCATGGCGCGCGCATTCTTACTTTCCTGCATTTGGTTCAAGCGCTCCTCTTCACTCGTCTTCACTCTATTGGCAAACTCGCTCACTATGCCGTGATGCTCCTTCAAGAAGGCCGTCTTCCACTTGCCATAAACGCCCTTCTTCGGCCCGAAGTACTTAGACCTCCACTTGCGCATCTGCCTGCGGCCCATCCAGCGTGTCGCCAGCACCAATGTTGTCTCATGTGCCGGCTGCGCACGGCCCAGCTCCCAGTAGCCGCGCTCAAAACGCACGCGGTCCTTTTGCTCGAGGTGCATCTCGATAATGGCCGGCAATGTGTCCCTCTTGAGGTCTATGTACGCCACAAGCTCATCGACAAACGGCGAGATAATAGATGCTAAGACTGGAAGCCCCTCTGCAATTGGACGACGTTCAAACAGCCGCTGACAGGTTGTGATCTGGTTGCCAATACGGACAATCTCCCCTTTACGACGCATGCGCTTCGCAGCCGACAAGGCCCCGCGCATTCGCCCATTTTTGACGCCGTCTCCCCACTTGCGCATCTCAGTAGAGAGCATATCCGTGCCGTCAATCCAGGCATACAAGCACTCCTCTTCCAGATAGAACAACTCTTGCAAACTGGTGAGAAATGTGCGGAACCAGTCGACGAAAAGGGCAACGTCATCTCCCGTGAGCATGGTAGGTCTCCGCTCCATAGCGGCAAAGATGGAATACATATCGTTGAGCTCCTCGCGAATACCATTGTCCGGCACGGCGACAAGCTCCTTGGCCCAGTCGGCCCTTGTAAACGCAGAATCATACGGAAAGCGCCTGTGTGTGAACAAGTGCTTATAATTCGGCGGCATGAGCACCTTGGCCGTTTCGTCTACATCCTCCTGCTCCTCCTCTGCTTCCTCCTTATCCTTGGACGCAAAGGAAACGAGAGCCTTCCATAATGGGGCCAGGCCCTTCTCTGACTGAGATGAAGTCTGGTTACAAAGCGGAGGCCCATGGTCGCCCTCGCCTTTCTGGTCGTCCGATACCACTTTCCGCAGAGTGTCCTCCTCCGCAGTCTCGACGGCCGCAACCGACGCCGACGCCGACGCCGCTGAATCACCGCTTGCAAACAGACGCAGGCGTGGGCGGCCTGAACCGGTCGAGCGCGGCGTGGGGCTAGAGCCATCGCTTCGGGGCGACGGCTGGCCACTCAAACTCTCGTCATCCTCGTGCGCGCTCGATGGTGCCGGCGACAGCCGGCTCATAAACTCGGCAATCCCCATATCGGTGGCGCAGCCTCAATCGGATTTAGTTTCTTGCTTGGCCGATGCTGGAGGGGAGCAGATAATGTCGGGGCGCGAGAGAGGTGCTGCCACGGGGGGGGGGGGGGGGGGGGGGGTTTCCAAGTCAACCATTAGAACTAAATCACAATTTGTTGGATAGATACTGTACTCACATTACTTTTTTTAAAAAAACTTTCTGTGGCGGAA